AAAACTGACTTCAGATTCGTAATTAGCGACCCCAGAAACCCCCAGATATCAATTGAACAAAGGAAAAGATTGTGCAGAAAAATTCGTGGCTTAAAGAGTTAAGATAAGAGATATATAATGTACTCATACAGCACAGTAATGTTGAATCAATGTTGAAAAAATGTTGAATTGCAACAATGTCAATATTGCAGCAACATTGAGAAACATTGAATCAACGTTGAATCAACGTTGCACAAACATTGATATAATGTAAAAATGTCCGCGATTGTTTATTTTTCCTTGACATTTCAACGTCTTATTTATTCTTATTGTTTCATAAAAAAAAACTAATTCCTAATTTTCTCATGTCTTATAACTGCTAGAAACCGAAGATTGTCAAACACACTCTAAAACTTTCGCGAATCCTCCCTCGATAATTTTAAATCCGAAGCGATATGCCGGTCTATCCATCATCCACAACCCATCCATTCTGTGCGTTGCTTAACCTGACGATCGAGCGGCACGCGGTGATTCCAATGACTCCAACGATGTTCTTACAATTTATGCTTATAAAATGTATACTTACAGTGTTCCCAGTATATTATAACGTACCTAGCAAATACACGCATTGATTCGCCTATCTATTTTATTTAATATCTCTAAAATTTATGTAGTTATTTGCAAAATGACTTCGACCATTCCTCCCAGTTTAATGTTTTTTGTTATCGATACAGCTTGCGTCAGACTCTATATAATAGAGAATATTATGAAATAAAAGAATATTCAGGGTTTGCGCAAAATTGCTTAAACACATTTCAATTTTACATATAAATAATAAAAAAAATATATATGATTATGGTATATTGCAATATAATATGTATAATACATATATATTAATATAATAATATTTAATAATAATTTATTTTATTAATATTATTATATAATAACAAATTTTTCCTTAATATTATCAATATAATTTTCAATGCTCGTATTATCAATATAATTTTCAATGCTCCTCAAATATTGTTGCAAAAAATTGTACTTTTTGTTCAATATATATTCAACATTGCAGCAATATCAATATAAAAAATCAACATATATTCTATGTAGAAAAAACATCCACATTTCTATCTTCAACGTTGCAACGTCTCATCTACGTTTTTTGAAAGTTCTGTGCTGTATGGGATATAGTCGGTAAACGTATATAGAATACAGTTTTAGCCTTGAAGATTGCGCAACGACACATATCAATCCGACAGTTGTCGGTAAAAGTTTATTTAGAAGGTATTATCTTCTTTTAATATTTTTGAAGAAAATTTTAATATATAGCAAACTTTTCAAGTTATGCTAATTCCCATAAGGCTGGATGTTTTTAATAGTACTTCGTTACTAATGTGCACAATTCATATTCGAATCTTTTCGATTCGAAATTTTCGAATTATTCGGATTCGAAACATAGGGATTCAAATTCACCTGAATCGATTCGATTCAATTCTAATTTGAATAGTTCGCACATCTCTACAAAATATTAATGCTATTTTATGCGCATGTATATAAGATGGTTGCAGTAACTATATTACTTTGGAAGTAGTATACTAGCCTTTTTTACTGTTTATTCATACATGTTTGAGCAGGACTTTCAGTGCTGTACAGTGCAACCAAATTCTACGGATCTCTCAACCATAGTATTCGTCCTACAAACCACAACAGGAAGGTCTACAATATAAGGAGTAAGCCATAAGTCATAAGAATTAGCCAATCATAATCGACTGTTACAAGAATAATCGGCTATGATTGGTTAATTTTTCTTACGACTTACGACTTACTCAGCATATTATAGACCAAGTCGAAGATGGCAATATTCTTTTAGTTGTGACAACTATGTATATGAAGATGTACTAACTGAACATATTTACATATCATAAGAACTATGAGAACTATAAATAAGCATAACAATAATAATAACTTTTAGATTAATATTTATAGTTGAATCTTATATATAAGTTTTAAGTTCATCTTTATATATAAATGGTTATCTTTAAATGGACCATTTTATTGACTACGGAATATCTAAAGAAGAACTTAAGACGATCATAAGTATAAAATCCGATTATGAATACCGGCTTTAATGCCACATCTATTTAACTTGAAATCATATAAATTTTCTCTCTAACCATAGAATATGTAAATTTTCTCTCTAACCATAGAATATGTAAATATAGCAACTATAATAATTTTTTTCCGTATAAATATGAGTGCCATATAAACACTTATATACAGAAGATATAATTCGGATTATATATTTATTCCAAATAATGCATTTTGTTGACTAATTCTATTGATTCAACAGTATTTTTCCGTGTAAAAGATGCAATCTTTACAAATCAAATCTAGTTAGGTTACTGCTATATTTACGTACACTTGTAGATCTGGGGAGAGAGAGTGTACCTGAATATAGATTTCTATGATTATCACGTCGTGAGACAATCGATCACGAAAATTTTACAATTCTTTATTTACATTTATGGAGTAAATATACTCTAATGAATTAATCATTAAATTTACAGCATAAAATAACGTAATTTTTTTTTGTTATTTTCCCAGACAGCACAAAATCTTCAGAGAATGTTCTGGGATGTTCTTAGCATGTATAAATGTCATTAGAACATCCTTAGAACGTTCTTTGAAGATTTGTGTATGGGTTGGTACAACGATAAATTAAATATTACATTTAGATTTTCGCATCACATTTTACGATATGTTTTGAATAGATTTTTATATTTTTTTTCATGTTTTATATGTATTTTTATTTCATCATTTTATACAATAAATATGAGTATATTTATATATAAATTTCTTATGCATGGAAAAAATGCTATTGTATCAATAGAATTGGTCAATAGCGTATTACAGTTAAAATAAATCTTCTTGATTCTATAGCAGTATTATTGAAACTAATATATTATATTGTTCTAATAACTCAAGTATTAATTTCAATAACATTGCTCTTGAATCAAAAAAATTTAATCCAACTACGGTGTACTGTTGACTAATTCTACTGATTCAAAGGAATTTTTTCCGTATAAGAGATGCAATCCTTACAAATCGATTAATAAAATTGCTGCCAAATCCACATACTTGTATATCTAGAGAAAATGTACCCAGATAAATTTTCATAATTATCACGAGACAACCGAAATAAACAATAATGGAAATTTTATAGTTTTATTAATTATATTTATGAAGTGCACGCGCGCAAGTATATTGTCTTTACTTAATCGTTAAATTTACATCATATAATAATGTAAATTTTTTGTCGTATTAATATAGCACCAAATTTACTAAAAGTTACACTCAAATGTTCGTATTACATTTTAAATGATATTTTATTTTCAATAAATTTTGATAATTTTTTTTTGTATTTCTCTATTGTCACTCAATGATACGAGTACCATACTTATGTAATCTTTGCAAATCGACTTGTTATTGCTAAATTTACGTACACCTATCTATCTGAGTATCAAAATTGTCAGATAATATTTGCAGGGCGAATTGATGCACTTCTAGAACACGAGATCACTTTTTCCAAACGCTCTGGTAGATTTATAAACAAGAATATCTGCTCGCTAAAAGTCGGAGTAATTTTACGCAGTTGCTTTCGAGTAAGTTGATCATTATTTGACGACGACCACAACGACGACGACGCCGCCGCGAAAATAGAGCTCTTCTACTGGCGGCCCTTTTCAACGGTGTTATCTGATTAGAAATGACTTCCACGCAATGCAGATAATAATCTGACGCGAATACATTTAAAAAGAAGCGGCTTTATGACGCTTCAGGTTACGAGGATTTCCTCGCCGCGAAATAAAATTATTCGACAGTATCGACTGTTAAGAAAGTATATCGCGTAATTCCTGTCAAGCCTTTCACTTTTTGCTTTCCGTCGCGCGCCTAAATCTGATCCTATCGATCGTCATCGACTCACCTCGATGAAAGTTATTCGATAATGATTTTTCCAAGATTTGAAAACTAACGAAATCTCTTCTTTGACTCCAAACGCGACGGCTTTTCCCAGACAAATCTCTAAAATACGTCTTGGAAATATTTAAAAACTTCTAAAATAAATTTAATATCTTTTAGACGTCTTAGGTTAATAGTAATTACTTAAAACTTATCTCATGTTAGATACCTAGATTCGAATAATTAGATTAGAATTCTTAGTTTGAACCATACATGGAAAAAATATTATTGAATCATTAGAATTCATCAACAACGCTGTAATTGAAGTAAATCTCAATAGTTAAGTTATTTTTTACATGATATATAATGTATTGGGTTCAATAATATTGTTATTGGATCAAAAAGATTTACACCAATTACGGTAATGTTGACCAATTCTATTGATTTAACAACTCTTTTTTTCTATATACCATATATACGACATAATATTTGTGGTCACAATCTAGCTGAAAAACTCACATCTAACTGTAAATAACAATTTGAATATTTCAGGTGACACACAAGTTTTAAATAACGATTAATAATACAAGATCTTAAACCCGTATTAATAGTCGTTACTTGAAATTTCTCTTATTCTCTTATGAGATATTTGTATTAAGATTTAGAATTAGATTTTTGCTTGGATTACATATAATATATGCGACATTACATTTGAAATTGCGATTAAAATAAAAAATCTAACTCCAAATTCTCAAAAATCTAACTCAAATCTGAGTATCTCACTGAAGACAATATTTCAAGTAACGGCTATTGATACGAACTTTAGACGTTTATATTGTCTGGGTTGACTTGCGCGTTGAAAAATTGACGGCCTCATCAGTCTCGCGGTAAACGAGCAGCTGACTTTCCCGTGAAAGATGACGTACGACGTCAGTCGTTGCGTACATCTCTCGGAGCGCGAATTTGCATTTCGACGAAAAAACGAGGAGGAAAACGTCGGCGCGCGTAACGGAAGGATCAAAGAAGAAGAGAAGAAAGAAAAAGAAGAAAAAGGGACTCACATTTTTCCTGGCTGCCGACGTGGTCCACGTGGCCTCGTTGAATACGCGCCGTTGGAAGCGTCACCCGAATTCACATCTCTTCTGCTCTTTCTCTTCTTCTCGCGGTCGCTCTCGCGCGCGTGCGTTTCCGAGTCGGGAAAGTCGACGGTCCCGAATGAGGAAAGTCGTCGCGTCGATGACGCGCTCACGTACTACACCAACGAAGTGGAATACACCTGGTAAAATTAAATCTACGTTTTCGCGATTTCCTCTTTATGGAAACACGTACGAGACATCGCTGTGCGAGATTACGCTGTTAAAAACCAACCAGCGTCTCCTCCACTCTAGTTTTCAAAATTCGCGCATCGCGACGGCGGGCTTGACTATATCGTCAGACGTCGGGACGACTTGCACCTCGACGTTTTGCGTTATCGCATGCAATTCACCGCGACTGATAAGCGCAACTGTCCCCCAAACGACTCACTCCAATTCGACCGCGGCCCGACGACGTAACCGCGCGAGCTTATCGCTGTACACGTACTGACAATTCGAGCAATCTCTTCCGACCAGCGTACCGTGCCTGTCGCGGGCTGCTTCGAAACTGGCGCTATCTGGTGGTAGGTGGCGCAGGGCAGCCAACGAAAGAAATGGGAAATCTACATATACTCAGTTTGTTGCTATACCATTCATCAGATTGATAATGGGCGCGTTCAGCGGAAAAAGCGCTCAGTGAGCAATCAGCGATTATTGGTTCTTACTGTTAGATCTCTAAATTTAGACCAATTACATGAACGAATTGCTCAACTGTTGTGCAACTATTGAGTTCGCTGAACGCACCCAGTCACTAGAAAATTTCGACCAGCCATGTCCGTTTCTAGCTGATCGTTTTTCATGACTATGATTCATCCGGCAAACGGTCAAAAATGACATTTTGACATTTTGACAGTTTGACGTTTCATACATACGCGTTTTTATCAAAAGATTATCCGCTCACGTGTAATGCACAATCAGTAGAAGAAGAATAAAAATGTTAAAAAAAGGTAATTAAGAAGTTAATATATAAAATTATAATTATTAAATTATTAAATTATTATTAACACATGTATGAAACGTCAAACTGTCAAAATGTTACTTTGATACATGTCTGTTTTAACACGTTTCTGTTTACTGGATGAATAAACAGTCATGAAAAACGATCAGCTAGAAACGGTCAAAACTTTTTAGTGACTATTGATCTGGTGAATGGTGTAGCATCAATGTAACTGAGTGTACGTCGTGACTGAAGTGTCGCTAGAAACGCATAAGGGCTATCGCACACAAATTGACATAACTGCATATACCTAGCATAAGATCGTATGGACCAATGAGCATCGAATATTAAGCATCGAACACCAATATGGCGACTTAATACTCGATGCTCATTGGTACATACGGTCTTATGCTATGCATATGCAGTTATATCAATTTGTGTGCGATAGCCCTAAGGCGGCTTTCGCGAGAGACGTCGGTCAAGAAGAGCAGGATATTATTGGCTGAAGGTAATCATCATATAATCGCTTGCATAAGTCTACAATAGGTGTAGTAAGTTTTCAGTCTTATAAACTCTAATGCGCGTGTCGGACTATGAATTGAGGATTGCAATTGGACTAATTAGGTAATCTAAATCTTTCTTAGTTCTGCTTTATTTAATTTACCCGATTGTAATCCTCAGCTCATAATCTGACACGGACATAAAGCCTGTTTCATATTAAGGATTGGAAATTGAAGATTGCGGATTGAAAATTAACGTTGCATTCCAAAACATTCTTTTTGAGAAAATTTTACTCGATATTATATAGTATATGTAACATGAACAAAAAATATTAAGTAAAATTTTTCTCAAAAAGAATGTTTTCGAATGCAATCTAGATTTCGACGGAACAGCAAACTTTGGCTTACTTTGTTCTAATTCGTCAAGTTTCAATCTTCAATCCGCAATTCTCAATTTTCAATTTATGGTCTGATACGGGCATAACGATCGGTCTAAACATTTCCAGTTAACTTAAATGGCCGATTAAATATCAACCGTGATTAGTCAATTCTGCTGAAACGAGAGATGCGATTGGTCACCCAGATAGCACAGAAAATTCAAAACGAATTTAGTCATATGTCACCAATTCTGAATTCATTTTTGGGTGTAAAAAGAATTCCTTTCACTGAACTAAATTCTGAAGTATTCTTTTTACATCTGAAAATGAACTCAGAATTGGTGACATACAACTGAATTTTTTTTTAATTCTCTGTACTATCTGGAATATTTATTGACAAATAATACAAACAACGCGACGACAATCGAAATGCGACTGATATTGTTTTAATGTATATTAGCGAACGATATGATCCCTTATAGAAATATCATACTAAGAATCATTGATAATTACTTATTTTCAGTATTAAAAATACTGAATAATAAGTAATTATCAATGATTCTTAGTATGATATTTCTATAAGGGATTGCTCTTAAATTTTCAATTAAACATTATAATGAACTAAGGCAAACAATAAATTAATTTAAAAAATATAAAATATGAAACAATTCTTACTAATGAGAAAGTTGATGCTTATCTATCTTGAATTATATCTCTATCTTATTAGTGAATAATTAACGCCTGTACTTCATCAGAAAAATCTAATAATATTCCACCCAGGTAGCAGACAGCCGTGATAATAACATGTATTTTACGTCGACTGTTACGTCATTTAGGGTAAACTCGGATAATATGGCCATACTTTTTTAAAATGCAAAAAAAATACATTTTTAATTGTTTATTTTTATTTTCATTTTTATTTCTTTTATTTTTTTATTTTTTATTTATTTATTTTTTATTGTTATTTATTACAAAAATATCAAAACATGAGCATTGATCATCTTACCTAAATGTTTAAGACAAAATGGTCATAAGAAATAGATGATCCATACATATTTTATGTTCAAGATTCTGTACCTATTATTTTATAAAATAATGAAAAAAATAATTTGACATATTCATTTTAGTATAGGATATTTAATATATATTATTTATGAAAAATATAATATACATATAAAATAGAAGCCTCTATTAAAAAACTTAAATTTTAAATCCAATTTTTTATCAAAATATTTTGCACATAAAATTTAATTATTGTAATATTGAAAGTAATTTTTGAAATATAACGACTTTTGTTTTATAAATGTTAGAATGATAGTGGGCCATCTTACCCAAAATATGAGAGAAAGACGGTTATAATAATACTTATAAAAAAATAGTTAAAAATGAAAATAAAAATGCATGTTATATTAAAATTTACATATTCATTTTATATATCTAACGTTGATTGCAATAACTTAACTGTAATTTGTTCAACGTTACAGCAAGTTTTAGTGGATACATGAGAAATTTTACAAGTAGTCAAAAATAAAAATATAGTATAATATTCATAATTTTGTTATTTCGAAAAGTGTACGCACATACACTACGATAAATATCGATTATCTTTGTGACTGATTACACAAACGTAATATTTTGCAATTATTAGAGAAATTACAGCCTATGGTCATCTTTCCGGTATGGTTATTATATTTGAGTTTACCCTATCCTTCAAGTTAATCAAATAATGACGTCCTTTTGACAGTCCTAAGTCACAGACCAATGACGTTATATATACGACGACTTAATGACCTCATTTTTTACATAAAATGACGTAACAATGATATATAACACTGGTTAAAAAGATATATTTTGCAGAAACAATTGCAACTAGTCAGCTTTCCTTATAGAAATATCATACTAAGGATCATTGATAATTACTTATTTTCAGTATTAAAAATACTGGATAATAAGTAATTATCAATGATTCTTATTATGATATTTTTATAAGGGTTATGTTGATTTTAAATATAATTTAGCTGTTTTATTTGATTTCTCACTATTTTCACACCTGAAAATTTACTCAGCACTGGTCGGACGCGAACTCGAGACCTCACACACCTCCACCAGGTTCCTAATCTACTACCGCCCTTATAGAAATATCATATTAAGAATCATTGATAATTACTTATTATCCAGTATTTTTAATACTGAAAATAAGTAATTATCAATGATTCTTAGTATGATATTTCTATAAGAGCGGCTACTACGTTATTTCTTCAACTGATACTAAGTGTATTTTATTATCCCCATATGCATATGCAGCCGAAGCATTAATTATAATTTTCTTATAATATTCCCTTACAGAAAAATCATATAAGAAATACTGAAAAATTATTAGTGATTACCTCACCAGCACGAACGACGGGCGAATGTTCGGGGAACGGATTCTTCTTTGGAGCGTGCGTAATCGTTAGCCCTTCGAACTAACTAAACGAAAATCACCAAAGTAACGAAGTTATCGAGCGAGCAGTGAAGATGCTGGGTCGTCTCGTAGGTTGCGAGGTCGTTCGGAATGACCCGACCGTATCTCTGGCTGTTGCGAGCTCAGCCAATTGTTTGTCAACTACATTCCATACAGCACACAATATTTATCTTTTAAAAATATTATATAAATATTTTATAAATATTTTAGGTACCTAAAGGAAAAAAATAAAATCTTTCAAAAGTAAAATCTTTATTCAAAATATTATTAAAATATAGACTAAATATTTTATACACCCCTTATAGAAATATCATACTAAGAATCATTGATAATTACTTATTATCTAGTATTTTTAATACTGAAAATAAGTAATTATCAATGATTCTTAGTATGATATTTCTATAAGGGAATATCGATAATAAACAAAAAATAAATATTTATAGTAATATTTTATAAATATTTTAGCTACATAAAGAAAAAAAGTATCAAAATCTTTATTCAAAGTATTATTAAAATATAGACTAAATATTTTATACAATATTTATAGTAAACAAGAAATAAATATTTGTAGTAATATTTTATTTATAAATATTTCAATTTACAAATATACATGAAAAAAATAAATATAATTATTTATAACTATTAAATTAAAAAATAAATAAGTAGAAATTTAAATTGGTAATGTACATTGAAAAAATTCTTTTAGTTAAAGAAATATATTTTGTTAAGTATAATTTCTTAACTTAAGAAAATTTATTAGATTTTAGAAAACATGTAATAAATATAAAGTAATATTTTTTTATTTATAAGATAAGCTAAAATTTTGAATTTCTAGATAAAAAATGATTTCATTGATTATTTTTTAATATCTATATATAATAATAAGCAAATGATTTCCATACAAGAAGAAAATTGGTTTTTTTAAATGTAAAAATTGTGTTTAAATAAATATTTGCTTGTTTTAAAAGTAAATGAAATACAAGTAAATTTAAAAGTAATGAAATATAAATAAATCATTTTATAAATCTGAATAAATTATTTTCTAATAATAAAAATATATTTTTTGTGTTTCAAATTAAAGTTCCTTTTATTAGAAAACAATTTATTTAAATTTACAAAGTGGTTTATTTGCATTTTAAATACTTTTAAAACAAATAAATATTTTTTAAATCTACTTTTTACATACTTT